ATTTTGATTAAATTCGTATTATTTAAAAAACCTTAAGATTTAGGTATTATAAACCTTATTAAAACAGACACTTGTTTTGTTCAGCGAATCCAAAAATGCAATAATATACAGGACATTTCATTTAAAAAAACGCAACTTTGATACCTTTAGAACTTTTGGGACACCCTGTACATTACAAAAATATGTTTAAAGTGTGCGCTCGGTAGGAGTCGGACAATTCATAAAATAATACTTTTTAAAAATCAAACGGTTTAGCCGCAAACTTCCGTGCCGTATAGCGTGAATAATCCTGTATAATAATCTACCAAAGGTATATATTACAAAAAGCCTCCACTGCAAATGTATGTTATGCTTGCAATACTGCAGAATACGCAGCAGGCACAAACAAATTTAATATGGAGAAGACCGAATGGCATGTGACTCGCGAGGTTCATAAATTATAGAGCTATTATCAACACTCATAGAGCCGTATAATTTTAAAAGTAGGTTATTGAAGACATGTTGTGGCGAACTCTATCCGCCACTTTTCAAGTAGCAGCTCCAACCGAAACGCCAGCTATATCTCACCCAGTAACATCTGTGCCGTTTCCGGTCAAATACAACTTCCAATCTACAGGGTGTTCCGTAAATATGTTAAAATATTTTAACAGCGTGTTCTTCAAGTCATTTTAGAAGGGGGTTTTCCTGAGAATTATTTTAATTTGAGGTTTCATTGTTGAGATATTTGATTTTCAAAATGGCGGAAAATATTAGTTTTTGTTGTGTTTCTTTAAAACGGTTAAACGTGTAAACGTCAATTTTGGTATACATGATAATCTAATAGAGTGCCATTCTATGGTAGTGTTTTGTGGTTCTGTTTACTTTTATACAGGGTAGAAATGTGGAACCCCTACTTTTGTTTTGATCAGAACTTTTTTGTATGCACTTAGACTTTTATCGGCATGATTTTCTTAGTTACTACAAATTATTCACCTACTTTTTTATCGCTTATTGTTTTTTTCTAAGACCACTAGTTTGCCCATTGACGCTTGTCATAAATGCCCGAGGTAAAGATGGCACATCGATCCTATAACATCGAAAGGTAATATCGATCTTCTGATAATTTGCAGTTGCATACAAATTTCAAATTGATTAACTTAAACTGAAATACATAACTTTATTTTACTGCTACTATGACATTAAATAATCGACTAAATTTATTCAACTTATAGTTGCCACATTTTTCGGTCAACTGACTGCAAAAAGATACTTTTTTCGGGTGCAGCTGGAAATGGGCCGCTATGCCGCGATATCGTTTGTATCGGCACTTCGCAGAAAATGTTTTTGTCTAATATCAACATAAAATGTCCGATTTTTTCATTTCAGGATCTAACATATATGTTTTATCGATGTCCCAAATTTCCGACATCGATGGTAAAAATATTGAACTTCGAACGAATTACATCGATGTTTTTCTCCCATCCCTAGCCCTACGATTTAAGTACTGACATCTTGATAAAACCAGAATGCGAAGTTCCAAAAAACCTAATAAATTTTTATACTAAAGTTATATCCGACAAAAGTCAGTAAACATGTTGCGCAAACGCAACAAAACGCGCGAAACGCGCGAAACCGCAAAATCTTTGTCTGAAGATTATATCTTCGCTGTGACTAATGGCAGTATCAAAACCTCAAAAATGTGATTTCCGTTATTTTCATTAGAAGTTCACCCGCCCAGGTGTCTTGTAACCCCCCTCTATGGCCAAGCTAAGAATTTTTTTAAATCTTATATGATGTTTGAAAAAACTAACTTATATAATGCTTGAAAAAACGTCAGGCTGTCTAAAGTTATTCAAAACAACTTTTATTCTTTAAATGTTCGATGTGGTGCCAGCTGTCCTTCACTTTCGCTGTCCGTCAAAGCTTATTTATCAGTATAAATAAAAATTTTGCGGCATAAAAACACTAATCAAAATAGACCCCTACCTCCCGGACTATAATTATTATTGGGCTAAAATCTGTGTGTCTAAAAAAATGTAACTTTTTCCTGCTTTTCCCAATGAATGTAATATTTTAGTATGTTTAAGGCCGATATATAAACTTTAGTTGGATTTGGCCCTGGCGTCGGCGTTGCGGTTCATAGCAGGTTTCAAAGTGCCATTTATATTCTCGAAGTTGGATTTGGCGTTGTGCATTTATGTATGGTTATGTTATGGTTATTTATGTATGGTTGTGTTGAATAAATTGATGTGAAATTAGTAAATTTGACTTCTTAAAACGGATAAATCAGTTCTTGAAGTACTTACGGACTCTTAGGTATATTCGGTTTATCTTTGTGCAGTTATCTTATTTATCTAAAAAAAAAACAAAAAAAGGGCATAGACGGTACGGCAGCAAAAACTTCCGTAAGGACCAGTAGAAGGGTATCATTTACAACCATATAATAAACTAGTCTAGACTAACTAACAAGAAAGAAAAGATGGAACAAAGGGCTCCTTTGTTTTTTGTTTGGCGGTTCGTTTGAAAGTCGCCACCCAAACAGGCAAAACAACCGAAATAAAACTGAAACAAATGGATACTACTTTTATGAAAAATTATATAAGGCTAAAATGTTAAGTCGAAATCATGACTCCAAAATTGTAAAAATTTGCTGCCTTCATCTTGGCGTCTTCTGATTCCATTTCTTCTAGCTTCCTAAAAATTTAGTCAGCAAATGCTCTATTAGCATTCGACGGCTGAAGTACCGGTTTTGCTGCCGCAGTCTTCTCCAGCGAAGCAGATATGTCTTTGACCAGACCTTCTTTCTCATCTAGTCTTTTTCGTTTCTTAGATGTACAGTTTATAAATGGACCTTAAAGGCCCATTTATAAATTTGCCGTTGCCGTTTGCGCTGACGATTGCTGTTTGCGCTACAAAAATCGATTTATATACTTGCCGTTACCGTTTGCTGTCAGTCGAATTTTTAGTCTAAGATCTTTCCTGTTATTATTAAATGTTTCCAATCAGCAGACGGCGAACGCAAACGTCAAGTTCATAAATGGGCCTTTATGACACTAAATTAAAAAAAAAGTTAAAAAAGTTGGTTAAAAACGTATGAATAAACATTAGCTACTTATTTACTAAATCTAATATGTAGATTACCGATCTATCGAAAATGATCTTTTAAGTTTTTCAACTGCTCAGGCATTAAAGTGCTCTTTACAAATGTTTTTTTTAAGTCGTAACTGTCTTCAAAGCTTCACAATACCAAATGATTTCACCTGTATTTTCAAACATTGTTTCGCCCTCCGGCTCTTTCTTCATCTGGTTCACATGCGATACCAAGCTTTTAGCCGCATCTTTAATATCAAAACACATCTGACTGTTGCTGTCATATGATTAAGTTGAACATATTTCTCAAAATCTTCAGTGGTTACACCCATTTCTTTGGCGTACCTTTTAGTTTAGGCTATTGTCGATAGGTGATGACGTTGCCATTTACATTGTGTTCTCGGTCTGATGTCGGTAAAAGATCTGTTTGGGTTTTGGTTGACAATGATTTGCAATTGTTTTCAGTACCTAACCAAACTATTTTTTAATTAATATTTTTCATAATTAGTTTCGTGTGTGTTTTATCATTACAGGTTTAAGTGCATCTGACATTTTTTTTATTTACCCGTAAGTTTCTAATAGTCACTTTCTACTAAACTTTACTTTGGAGGAAGACATAGAATATACGTATAGTATGAAAATATAATAATGTGGCTTCCTAATAAATATCCGCTAAACTGAACTTGACATTTTACATTACTCTCCGGGTACTATTTTACTTAATTTTTTTCTAATCTTATATTTCTGTTAACTTAAAACTTGCTTAGAGTAAGCAGTTTAAATTTTTAATTAAGCTTAAAAGTCTTTTTGCATGCTTTTATTACTATGGCCAAACCTAATATTTTTAATTCCTGCTCTTTTAAGTTGAGAAATTGTGGCCATACTCAGCTAAACAAACAGCAATTAATAAATATTTATAACAAAATAGAAACCAAACTGACTCGTATACGAAATGTAATATATAAAACAGGGAAGAGAAAACCAAACTAGTTTTCAATTTAAGCGCAGAATTTCAATTTAAGGCTCGTACACTAAACGCTCAGTACTGGTCGCTTCCCACTGGGTAATATTAGAGGTCGCTATCACAGATTAGAGGTTGCGGTAGTAGCTACTCAACTGGAAATGGAAACTGCATATGTGTTGCAACCTGATAACATAACAGACAAGAGATGGCCAATCCTTGTCTGTGTGATAATGCTATTACTACTTTGTCGACAAGTTCGTAACACAGCTTGACTTTTTCTCGGATTGATGTGGTATGCTCAAGCTCTTGTCAGAAAAGCGCGTATTGTGCTGTATTGTTTCGCGCGCGCCGTATGCGTCTCAAGGTCTATTTTTCTGCGCTCGCCGATGCTGCCACAAGCAAAACACGATATTTTTTTAAATAGCGAAATTTCATGCAAAATATGCAACTTATACAAACCCCATACCGTGAAAGCAGCTTGAATTTTCAACCCTTATTATTTCACTTTTATATGCTTACAACAGTACGCTTTTGAAAAATTACAAAGGTTAAAGGCTCATTTATAAACTTGACGTCGCCGGTACCGTTGCCGTTTGCGGTGACGATTGCCGTTTGCGCTACAAAAGGCGATTTATAAACTTGCCGTTACCGTTTGCTGTCAGTCGAATTTTTAACCTAAAATATTTCCTGTTGTTATTGAATGTTTTGAATCAGCTGATTTGGTCCGACCAAATACTGAATTCGGATTGGTTGGTACGTCAGTACTACGGATGTTCTACGAACGTTCACCGGCAAGACATGAAATTGGTTGATATTGACCGGCACGGAACGGAAACGGTACCTGCCAGAGGTGTTTATGAATGGATGTTAAGTATTCCAATACTTGATTTTCGACGCAAACGATACCGGTGGACGCAAACGGCAACGTCAAGTTTATAAATGAGCCTTAAAATGTGACAATTTCAAAAATGACATTACCATCAGATTTGAAATATGAAGTTGATGCCATTTATTTTTGGCTATTCTTATTTTTTATAACTTATGATTCGTGATAGGTTTTTCAATCGAATAAAAAATATGTTCAATCCGAGGGTGAAAATCCGTTTTTCGAACTCCTCACGGATTGATTGTCAAACGCCGGCCTCGTTCGAAAAACGACATTTTTCACCCTTGTATCGAAAACTACTATTGATTCTATGACTTCTATAGACAGTGCAACTCTGTCAACTTGTGTTTAAACAGTACTTTATGCTAAAATTTGAAGATAATAGACATATTTTGACATTGATGAGATGAATAATTCTATTTGGTTTGTAATGTGCGTACCAGAATTATCGATAAAAACAATTCATGTTGAATCTTGTATTTCCGAATTTAGAGGAAGTAAGTCACGTTTATTTCAATTTTAATCTGATTTCAAGTCAATTAATTGGTGCTATGGAATGCAATTTTAATCTAGATTATTATTCAGACCAAATCTTCTATACTTAAAATGCTGCAGGTTAGAAACATTCAAATGAAATTTATCGGAGCTTAACGAAACGTCACTTGAGGCGCAGTCTACTATAAAATAGACAATTGATATGAATAATTCCCAGTCTCGACTAGTCGGTTGATCGGATTAGCTAGTGCAAAACTCGATTAATGTATCGATCTTACTAAGTATTTGTCATTGACAGACGATTTAAAATGGATTATTATTCAGTTAATCTATTATAGGTGCGTATAAATGATTACTCTATTCAATTGTTCGATCACAGTTACTTACACTATAAATAAATAATTTAATGTAGATATATTTTATACCAGATGGTTGTGATTTGAAGTACCTTATTTTTAATCTTCCTCCTAATCTTCTTCAGCGACTTCTCCTCAGGTTTAGTAAGGGGCAGACGCGTTGGAACTGGATATCCTTCCGCTATTAACGTTCGTTTCTCTTCAGCAGTAAGGACTAACACACCGGTAGATCCCTTCTAAAGTTATATAAACCATTAGCATTGATCTCTAATTCAAATGTGTAAAAAGTTGTTACCGGTTGAGTACTTATTAAAGGGGTGTAAATGGGCTGCCTTGAATGGTATGGTAAAAGCGGCCTCGTTAATTTTCTTGCTGCTGGTGAAGATGGTTGCGAAATTCCATTATCTTCTGAATCGTCGCTGCTGCTGCACGACGGTGGTGTTGGTGGTAGATGGAACGCATTACCATTAGGTGCTATACCAATGAAATATTTCGTAAGACATAACGATGACAAACATGTAAATTTAGTCTAGGTTTACTAAGTTACTTATATTATTAAGATACTAGATTATTAAGAGTTACTGATTAACCAACTTTGTGAGACGTACCCAACTTAAGGCTCAATTGTGGAATTTGCATTCTTTGAGGTAGAACTTTATTTGGGGTCGTTATGAGTATATTCTGTCCAGACTGTTGGAGGATGGCTTCAGATAGTTGCGACTGAAAAATAAATTTCACACATTTTAACTCACATTCTTCGGTAATTTATAATTTTTAATGGTTATGCGTTGATATTTTTAGTTTATTTTTGATTATATATAATTACATTTGTTCCTACCATATCAACATCAAAATGTATTTCATTTCCTTGTATGATTTGCGAGTGCGGCGATGACGGACAGGAACTGTGTATACTATCTGTTTCGCTGTATTCTTCTTTGATTTCCGCCTCTTCCTCCTTAATCTCCATGGTGTCATCTGTTAGTCTATCACAGGAGGGGTTCATTGATATGGCTGGATAACATTCGTCTTCCATGTCTATAAGCACTTTAAACATTTATAAATAAAAAAACATGTACGCTTTCCAAACATTAATAGTATTGGCAATTAGCAAGTACGTCTAGAAAAACAGTAGGATGCTTATGATGCTCCCGATGCTTAATAAAATAGATCGGATATATATTTTCTCTGTATAAATACAGCTCTAAAATCCAATATTTTGTGCTAAAGATGCGTTCATATTTTGGTTAATAGAAATTAAAAAAATACTTATGAAAATATAAATCACGATAATTACGTCATCCAAAATTTCTTCCCTGGGAAAAAAAAACCTATAATTTTTCACATCTAGGTAGCCCTTAGATAATATCTTTTATTTAAAAAGGTCTCTACCAATTTTTGCTTGAAAGTAACAGACCTTTTAAGTGAAAAAATTGGTCCGTTGAAAAAATCGCGCAAACGTAAATTAAATCAAGTGCTCAATAAAAACTAATTGTCATGTTTTTCCCTTCCTTTTATTTACAATCTATCCTGCGGGACATTAAGGTACATTTTACAGACATATTTACATGAGTATTTGGTAGCCGTAGCATGTGATAGTCTCACCCGATGGAGAGAACCCTACTAAGATAAACTTGAAAATAAGGTTAATTATAGCAAGATGAGTGGATTATTAAATATAGAAAAGGAAAGAATGACGTCTAATTCTTCAGCGCTTATATCTCTAAAATCTAAATTGACAATTTAGAGCGGTTAAATAAATTAGAAATTTTATTAATCAAATTATGCAAATTTTGAAGTTATTGACCACAGTGTCTTCCAACATATTGTACCGTGAATGGCCTGGTATCAAACTCTTTCTTCAGCTTCCAACTTTTATTCAAGTCATTTCCATCACATTTCCGTTACAATATGCCGTGGACAGATGTAACCAGTTCTATCAGCAGTGGTAAACCCATCCACAAAAACGAAAACTATTTGGCAACATAAAATCCACACCACGTCCAAGCAATCCAAGTATAGAGGGTGATTCAAAATTGGGGTCATTCCTCTGGAAGTATTGTCTGGCGGTGTTATAGGAGTACAGAAAAAATAGTAAAAGAAATTAATTGTTATTAAAAACTGAGAAATTTAGCTAACTAATTAACATTGCGCAAATGCTATGCAAAGTGCTTCGTAATTATGTAAAACTCCGGTAACCATGGAATTATACAGAGTGACAATAAGGATAAACGGTAAATTCAACAAGATTTGTTGACTGCGGAACGTACTTTTGAAATGTCAACCTGTTCGCATAACCTCCAATTGGTTGAATGGTTAACTCCAAGCAAGCTAGTGCCTGTGTAAATTCCTTATTATCCACTCTTATCAAGCAGCTTCTCGTATTCAGTTAATTAACTCCTGCTCCATTTGTACATGTGTGTGCTCCTTGTACTGTGTGTATCGTACAAACGTGGCAGGAAAGCCCTTCCTCGGTATTTATTTGGTGCCTGGGAAAGTGTCAGTTATTGTGCTCTGAGTACCCCTGGAATACCCTGATTCGATTATGTCCAATACTTGTTCCTCTGTGCGTGGAACCCCAACATCGATTGTCGTCCACTATCTCCCTGGAACCACTCTCCTCGCCCTTTGTTGGCGAGGGTTCTTTCAGCTTCTGCTATGTTACTGTAGCATTTCCCCTGAACTAATCGCATATCAGCAAATTCGTGAAAGGAAATTCAAAGTAAGTCATAGTTTGACAAATTGTATTATATTGTTATTATTGACAAGGGTACCACCAGGGACCCACCTGTAACTATCTGTTAATGACAAAAAACATCATTGCCGCTGTGGCTTTTCATCCAAAAATTGTAGAAGAGAACTTTTTTGATATCAAAAATTTTCGTAATTTGAAGCAAAGATGGTAATTTTTCTTTTTGTATGCTTAAGTATTCCAATATGCTACCTATTAAACATGGAACACTTTCGAAATAATGCTTAATTCGATTTTCAACTGTTAATACCTTCTAGAAATTATCGAAAAAACATTCAATATTTTTCTCATACCTTCCAAGTGATCCCAGATTACCATCCGAAAAGGAATGACGCCAATTTTGAATCACCCTGTATACCCTCCAAAAATATTTGTACATTATTACTTATATATTTATTGTACGTGTTTCGGTTGTATTTCAACTCGAACCTAAATACCTAACATGGAACAATTTCAACATAATGCTTAATAACAAAGTTGAAATTCGATCTTCAACTGTTAATGTCTTCTAGAAATTTGCGAAAAAATTTTTTTCAATATTTTTCGTACTCCCCAAGGGAGCCTCTATCACCCCTTAAAAGTAATGACACCAATTTTGAATCACCCTGTGTAATATCCTTAATAAAGCAAGCTATTTACAATTTCTGTGTGAACAACTCGCCTTCTGCTCGAAAATATTCCACAATATATGTTCGTTCGAACTTGGAGTTTTAGCAGAACGAAACACCCCGCCCAAGAAACAAATTATACCAAAATACTTAAACGCCCATTTTGCAGATACCTGGATCAGGAAAGAATGGACCAATACCACAAGGCCACAGACTTGACACCGGGGTATTTACGGGGTACCCTAAAAGATATTGTTTATAGAACTCCCTCAACAAGTAGGGATCTTCCAAATAAAGTTGTAGCACTGTTGTAGAAATGTCGAAACATTTCAAGAGAGGCACTGAAAAATGCTGTCGAATAGTAAGTTAAGAGATTGGGAAAATGCCATTTTGAACTTACTATTTGTTCATTTTTTCGTTGAATGTGTAATTTGTATGCAATTGTGTTCAGAATTTTATTTTCAGTTCGCGTTTTGCCATAGTAGACTTTCGGCGTCAACTTTGGATCGCCGTTTGCATGTTCTTATATATTTTCTCACCCATTTGATGCTCGACCAGAAAAACAAATTATTTTCTGAACTTAACAGTAAAATCGACCAAAATATAAAATCGTTCACATTCAATTTTTTGGGTACGCAAATAAATAAGAGAATATTGTATATAAAATTTTAAAGATGAAGAACATTTTCGAACTAATGGTATCTAATCCTATACAGCGATTCGAGTCAAAACCTCCATACAGCCGTATCTATAATAAATAATAATAATAATAATAATAATAAACCTTTATATAAGACCTGTGTAATGCGAGCTTATCACTACAAGATTTTTTCAACTAGGAATTCAACTAAGAATCGGGAAATATTCATCAGTTTGCCTAGGAATACAGGGACCCTTAGAAAAAAATGATGCACGTTGAAAGCTCCTAATATTTCGAGTTGTTCGGGTCTCCCAGGATGAAGGCTTTGCCAAACCGAGAGCAAAGAAACGAGTTAGAAAGCGAAAGTCCAAGCTGACAACACCCACAACAGCAGAAGAGTCCTCAATGAGTAGACGATAAGTGACAAGGCAGTGTTGGCATCGCCAAAGTGGAACTTGCGTTTAAATGAGAAGAACTCAACGCAGATAATCGTTAGGCAAAACACCCGACGCGCTTTCAATAGTAAAGAATCAGCACATACTTTAAATCGCACAAAACTAACAATCAATCTACAAATCAACAAAAACACAAATCGCCACAAAACACTCCGACTCCGTAGTGACAACGGGGTGGATCTCGGTATAAGCGGCCAATGATTCAAAAATATTTTAAAAACATTGAATTTTAGATCGGCAAAAAGGATGAAATCCAGACAAAGAAACAACCAACTCTCAGCAAAATATTATTAACTGGCTATCTCCACACAATTGCAAAGCGTATGAAAGATAGTACAATTCATAAAATATCCTCCCTTAGAATGGTAACTAAATAGGGCTAAGTTGAGTTGCTCCCTAGACGCGGGGCGTCGCTAGATGGGGCGATAGGTTGTATCTGTCCGAGCGAAGACGTATACTGTGTTATACATAATAGGAACAAACATTTTTTAAGAACAGTAAAAATTGTAAAAAATTGTTGAAACTGATTTCGTGATAATGTATTTAATAGAATATTATCATAAAGTTCGCCTTTATTGACCGGAAATATATACTTACTAGGTTGATAACTGTAGTAACCTTGCAGCTTTCGGCCTGATAAAATTTGGTGAATGTAATCAGGAATAAAATATTAGATAAATGACTCATATTCTAACCGAGTTTCAAGCGCGTCACCGTCAGGGGCGCTAAACGTATATACAAAATGTATCATTTCTGTTTCAATTCTAAGGGATTTGATATTAGGTTCAGTGATACAATTCATTTTGCTCATTCCTTGCTTGTAAATGTTCTAATTGCAAAATATTTCCCAGAATTAAATGCAGCAGATAAAGAACAGAAGTTTTCTTCGAGCCTACAGAAATAACCGTAAGGGTACTCTTCAAATAATATAAAATTGATGACAACAGTATCCCACAATAAATTAATTATCAAGTTCATTGCCATTTCAGCAAATATGGCAAAAAAATCATTGTGATATCCGAACCCTCAAGGCAGTAAGTACTAATTGGCGGCAAAATAAAAACTGTTGTCCATTTTGGCAACAATATTTGGCCGTTGATCAATGTTGTTAGTGTTTTTCAATTTGAAATAAATTTCACTAAAAGATATGAGCAGTGTTTTACAGATTACAGTCTCTAGTAGACCATAAGGTAAGAAATCCTCCAAGATCATTAACTAGTATTCATTTCAACCTTTAAAAAATTACCACATCATGCAACATTTCTGATAAATACATTTTTGACTGAATAAAGTTCGACTGATGACACAAAAGCAAAAATAAAATTGTTTCAGACTTATGGGTTTTAAGTGATTTGCGTTTTCAGTGCCTTTATATTTTCATAAGTTAAATGACTTCAAAATTACAATACCGCTCGAACCACCATTACTGATTATGGAGGTATTTAAACAGTCATTACTTATTCAAGGAAAATGGCATTATCTGTAATATAAGCATACCCACCCATACAACAGCAATGAAACGCGTTAAAATGTTAAGCATGTGCAAATTTGTAAGCTTTTTGTATTCCGAGAATCAGGTACAGTATTTAAGTTATTTAGGTTCGAGTTGAAATACAACCGAAACACGTACAATAAATATATAAGTAATAATGTACAAATATTTTTGGAGGGTATACAGGGTGATTCAAAATTGGCGTCATTCCTTTTCGGATGGTAATCTGGGATCACTTGGAAGGTATGAGAAAAATATTGAATGTTTTTTCGATAATTTCTAGAAGGTATTAACAGTTGAAAATCGAATTAAGCATTATTTCGAAAGTGTTCCATGTTTAATAGGTAGCATATTGGAAGACTTAAGCATTCAAAAAGAAAAATTACCATCTTTGCTTCAAATTACGAAAATTTTTTATATCAAAAAAGTTCTCTTCTACAATTTTTTGATGAAAAGTCACAGCGGTAATGATGTTTTTTGTCATTAACAGATAGTTACAGGTGTTTTACCCTTGTCAATAATAACAATAATTTGTCAAACTGTGACTTGCTTTGAAATTCCTTTCACGAATTTGCGGATATCCATCCGCGCGGAACAAAGGGCGAGGAGACTGGTTACAGGAAGATAGTGGACGACAATTGATGTTCGGGTTCCAGACACAGAGGAACAAGTATTGAACATAATTGCAGCAGAACCATGCATCAAATACACCAAATAAATACCGGCTATATTACTCCCACGTATGTAAGACACACATTAAACCAATGGATTACTGAACACCGGTATAAATTGAGCAGGGGTTAATTAACCGAATTCGAGAAGCTGCTCGAGAGGAGTGCATAATAAGGTGATTACACAGCCTTATGGAGTTACAGACTCAAATGTATGTTTTTGTAATTTATAAACAAATGAATACTTCGAGGTTATGAGTTTCAAAATAGGTTTCGTCATTCAACGATTCCTGTTGAATTTACCGTTTATCCTTACTATCTATCTTATTGTCACTTTCTGTATAATTCCATGGTTACAGGAGTTTTAAATAATTACGAAGCAACAGGTATTTATGTAATGTATTAATTAGCTAAATTACCTTGAAAAACATTGTTGTCATTTTTTAAATATAGTTTTTGCAAATTTCTCAGTTTTTAATCACAATTAATTTTATTTTACTATTTTTCTGTACTCTTAAAACACCGCCATACAACACCTCCAGAGGAATGACGCCAATTTTGAATCACCCTGTATTTGTGCTCATAAAATCTAGTGATATATTGAACTTTGTGTTAGAGCCATTTAGGATTCACCCTTGTCAAGAATCAGGCCTCCACCTCGACCTGAGTCCTGTCGAGTCAAAATGAGTTCTTTCTAAAAGTGCCGTTAGTGGGTCAGTAGACCGAGGAAGCGGGTGGGAAAAAGGGTAACGCACATATGCGCACAGGGTGGTATAGTGTTCAGGTTCTTTGTGTAGTTACCACACCTTTTTTTGTGGCGTTTTATACAGGGTGCCCCGTAAGCTCTTGATCAAAAGTGTACTGCGATATTATTTGGATCAAAAGACGATCTGACTGAACTTTTATTATCAAAAAATGTCTGGCTCCTCTGTTATTGGTGGTCAAAGTTCTTCGAAAAAATTATCTTTTTTGAAATATCGTGAGCATCGTACGATATATTTAGGTGAAACTTGCTGTGAATTTGTTCTTATGTAAGGACTCAGGACCCGTGCAGGTTGGGCGACCCATCGGGCGCGTCCCCAGGTGGCGGATAGGGGGAAGGCCGGTCAGATACGCCTGACCGGTTAGCGACAGTTATAAGTGAAAGTCGTGGAATAAAACCCACGGATCTGGATCGAAAGCCGTCGCCGCGGAGCAGCTCGTGGCACAAATCGCAAACCGCCTGCAGTGCAGCGACTCTCGTGGCTACGGCCTCGGGATAGGTACTGTAGGGGGCGCGGGGATCTTGGTTTTACTTCCCGGATCGCGTGACGAGGTATAGGACTCACGGCATAGTGCGCGCCCAGCCAAAGGCGACTAACCTTGAGGCAACAGGCGCACCTCATTGTATCAGCCTTACCCACACATGCGGGGCTCTGTGTGGATAGACCTAACCCTTCCCTAGCTAATCGTGGGAATGATGGGGAGGAAAACACCACCATCATACACCACAAAATACCGGCGGGACTTCCTCAGAAGGGTGGTAAAAAACTCCGGGGCCGCCAGGCGGAAAAACCACCAAAACTGTGCTAGGTAGACCCTCAGGGGAACCAGCACACCCCAAAAAAGCTGCCATGACCGGGACGCAAAAGCGACACCGGTCGGATTGCAGCACACTCAACAAGCCAGCACCTGGGCGGCTGTATGTGGGAACTTCCGTATAGGAAGGAACAACACACAAGTCGTGCAAGGTTGCAGTTTCCGGGATTAAGATGGCCATAGCGGCGGTCAGATATCCCGAGAAAAACTTTTCTCCTCAGCGGGGAGAACTCATATAAAGGCACCTGCATGGGAAAATCAACGAGCTGCAGCCAGGGATGATTACCAGACCAGGTCATGTGTCGTACCTCCCCCCCTCAAGATTCTTCTGGAATTCATTGAATACACAGGGATAATGAGGGAGTAAGTAAAATACGAGGGCACAATAGGGCAGAAATGACCGCGGTGCAAGGCCAAACACGACCTCGGCGTTGAGGAAAGGGTTTTAGTGGGTAAACAGCTTAGCTGGAGTCCCACACAACCCAGAGCGACAGACCACCAGCTCTGGGAGTGCATAAAAAAGCATTTCCCAAACCTCACCGGAAAAAAAGGACTCATATTTTGATGAAGCAATCGAGTTCAGCCGTTTTGGACAAGTGGTGAAATATTGAGTGTCGTGGTACAAAAACTACCAGAACTTTTTATTTGGCGGATGGAATCAACTAATTTTTTTTGGTTGATGCACTCATCATGTATTCACAATTTTGTGCTGTTTGTAAAATCTTGTAGCATTCATAGTTTTTGCGCCAAAAAAATATGTCTGTTTTCTTTCCGCTTAACAATGTTAGACATTAACTGCAAATATGCACCGCGTAAACGTGTACGCTTTCACGCAAGTTGTCTTCGCAAAACCCTAATACTTTGACCATGTCGGTCACATCTTCATTAGAAGATTCAATTGTGAGATTGATTGACAATTAATTTATGCTTCGTATCACGTTATTTGCAGTTAATCTCTAACATTGTTAAGTGGCAAGAAAACAGAATTTTTTTTTTCGCAAAAACTATTATTGCTACAAAATTTTACAAAGAGCACTAAATTGTGAATAAATGATTAGTGCATCAACACAAAAAAGAGTTGATTTCATCCACCAAATAAAAAGTTCTGGTAGTTTTTGTACCACAACACTCAAGAATTTATCACTTGTCCAAAACGGATAAACTCGATTGTTTCATCAAAATATGAGTCTTATATACGAACAAATTCACAGCGAGTTTCACTAGAATACATCGTACCATTCTCCCGATATTTCACAAAAGATAATTTTTTTGAAGTACTTTGACCATCAATAGCAGAGGTGCCAGACATTTTCTGGTAATAAAGGTTAGGTCAAATCGTCTTCTTTTGATCCTTTTGATCATGTGCTTACAGGACACCCTGTATAGACAGTTAAGTTGTTCATTTGTTCGGAATGTTTTTGTTACCTATTAGAGTAATTAAACAATTTTGGCTTTTATTTCGAACCGAGTTGTGAAGTTAAGACAAAGAAATAATAAATTGCTTTAGCGCGCGAATCGTGTAAATTCATATCGGTTTTATTGTTAAGTTTTAAATGATCAATCCTTACCATCAATTTTTTGAACTGACTTTGGTGAGTCCGGCACAGAATCACTATCTGAACTTAGGCTGTAGCTGTGTTCCACTTTGATTGGTCGCGTTCCAAGGGCAGCATCAGTCATTAATTTGTCGTTTAAAATGATACCAGGGATGTCTTTGGCTTCCATGAATGTCCACTCAACGTCGCCCCCATCGCCAGTGTGCAACTTCAAGACGTCGCGCATTTCCTGTAAAAATAAAGCTATTCAATATTGACAAACTTCCATTCATATCTTAAAGAAGCGCTCTTGTTCTTATTATCGCCTTATTAGTTTCTCGTTTTCGGATTCGAGTGTTAGCACCTGTCGACCACATAACCACTCGATACGGTTTCAGGACGAAACAATTACCAGCTACTCGCTCCTTAAAAGGACACACTGACTAATTAGAATGTAAAGATACATGTTTTGGGACAGTTAATCACGAATTTCATGACCTAGTAAAATAATGATGCTCTTATGAATAATAGCAGCGAGACATCGCAATTGATTGCTTGGTGTTTGGTAGCTTTTACTCTTTCCAAACAAAGAATTACCGTCATCATTGTATAAAAATATATACACAAGTTACAGAGCAACACCATATCTTGTAATTTTTCTTCCAACAGACATTGATTTGTAAATTATTTTTTTTTAATTTAAAGTGTTTATAGACGTTCACTGTATACAGAGTGTGCCAAATAAAGTTGACGGGTCCCAATAAACAAATTACAGCCACTTTCTGAGATACATACTATGTTGAAAAACGCCTCTAAATATACATATTCTTTTAATCACTTTGAAACTACTTAGTATAATTTAAAAAATAATATGAGATGCCAGTTAAGGTAACAAAAATCAAAGTCAAGTCAATTTTTATCTTAATTCAATTAAGAAAGTTAATTTTTGCGAAGTATAACTTTTGAAGCTGAGTGACAATATTATCAATTTTTACAAGAAAATGCATTAGGTACTCCGGATGTTATTCATGCCCAAAACAATATTTATTTATATTGTTTTGCAAATATTGCTGTTTTTCTGAACACAATGGTTTCCAAATAACTCGATCGACAGAGAGGGTCTGTGGCTTTTACCAACCTTTCTAGGCATATTACGTCCATTGGTTATTTGCCTCTGGGGACAGTTAAAAATTATTTTTTTATTGTTGTTAAAATTAGAGAGAGTTTCAGGAAAATGCTTCAACAAGTTGTTTTTTAGAGGCGAATTGTCTGCTGATAGGTAACCAAAAGCAGAGAAATGCACGAAGCTATTGGAAGCTTACGTAAGAAACCACATGGATATCATCATCTCTGCCAAAATTTAACACAAAAAGGACGCTATGCAAACCAGAGGTTTAACTCATGGCCCCTTGCATAAAAGACTATCTATTTATATTTCAAGAAAAATTGGCTACTGACCATATGGGACAACATACGCACAATTACATTTTCCAGAAATATGGACCATTTGCCTTTTTTTAGTTGGGTTAGAAACACAAAATCTTAAACAAAACGTTACTGACTGGTTTAATACTTGAATAGCCAGGGGTATGCAAAACGCCACGGCTGACATTTTTTTAAGGTTTTAGGGTCGCAACCAAAGGGATTTTTAGACTGCCAAGAATCATCTCCTGTTATGTGATTGTTGTGCGAATACCAGACTCACAAATTTATGTGTAAGAGTAAACCCGGGAAACAGTTTAATGTGCGGCTACTAGAAACATGACTTCCAGGCCGACCACCAGGCCCAGCACATATTAGTACTTATTGCGAAGTAGTTTTACAAAAACATCAATATTCTGTAAATTTTTTATCTATCTTTTAAACACTAGGTTCACTCCCAAACAAAAATCGTAAATTCGCCATTAGATTAGACTGATAACCAATAGAAAATTTGATGTTTTTGCGCTTTACGTGGCTTCTGGTATTTTCAGAAGGTTATCTTCTCACTGTTTTCTTGATCTCCATACAGGAAATGGTTCGATATCTGTTTTAGGTTGTCGCTTTTATCGTTCCACAACATGAAAAGGTCATGAAAAATCCTCGGTCTTACAATTGCAATTTCTAAGGCGTCCTTCTCAACACTTTTAATGAAGAAATTGTCCATTACCCGATTAATTAACCTTCCTATCGCTACTTCTTTTTTGTTTGCTGAAAGCGCTAATCTCATTCTGCAGCAGCCTTTCTGGTCAAACTCAAAACGATTTATTTTACAGCCTTCAAAGTTAAGCTTCAGGAAAAATTATTTTCACCGAATCTTAGATCGAGATTATAGAGAAGTCTTTACTATACTAAGAATTAAATTATTAAAACGACAAATCAACGTGTCACTTTCACATTTGTATAGGTGTGTAGGTCTGATATTGGTCATGGTCTTATGTTCTTATGTCTGGCAGACATTTTTTTCCATCTCAATCTAATTGTACTTGCGAACTGAAGATTTTCATATAGACATTTAAAATTATTTTTTCCTTTGCGATTACAAATTTTTACCAGCATTTGTAGGTTCTTTACAATAATAAATATTGCTGCTAATAATCATTTTTTTCAAAAAAATATTCAAGCTTAATAAAATTTAGAGTTGTGGTTTGAACACATGAGTTGAGTCATGTTTTATGAAAACACAGTAAACACGTCTGAGTAGTAAGCAATATTAACGTGTAGCTTTAAAAATAAAAAAAATATTTGCAGTCGAAGAAACAGAGATAAATTGTCCATGCCATTAATTAAACATATTTTTCAAGAAAATGATCTCTATATTCGATTATGTTTTAAATATTGCTTTAGAACCTAAGTCGAGTGCACCACAATTGCGGTTCAAAGAAATGTTCTAATATTTAACGCAGTTGTGTGATTTATCTTCAGAAAGTTCAAACTTTTGCATTACGCTGATGATTAGATTGAGATGAGATTTTGACTTAGATTATATAATAAGTTCCAATCATTTCAAGTTGAATGAAACTTATTTTTTAAGAATCAATGACTTTCCAACGCTCCCTGTCACATTGTGCGCTCTTATTAACGTCAGTTTCATTATTTGTAATTAACTCTACATTTATTACTGTTACTGCAATAATTATTGCTCCGTTAGTCATATAGACTGAATTAAAAACTTTTTTCAATTAGCAATAGATCGAATGGACTGCCTGGTCGCCTGTTATATTGAATTCGTTAATTTATCCAAAAGAACTACAGGCTGCTGGGCAGTCATCTATAACGACCATGACCATCGTATGATGTCCCAGAAGAAGGTTGTTGACTTCGATACGAGTTAAATTCACTGATGGTTCTCTACTGGCTACAAACATGTTGATTAATTAATTCTATTTCCCAATAAAGAGAAAAGTTTTCAAGGCGACTTAAACGGACATGCCTTGTTATTGATAATAATGGCTTGATTGGTATTTATTTTCCCTACTAATTAATTATTTTTCTGCTTAACATGAAAAGTTGCTACACAATCTTCAAGGTTACATCCCAGTAAAATTATTGTCAATATGAATGGGGCAAATATGTAAAGGGTTATTACATACTGCTTGACGACTAAGACACATATTGTTAAAGCGCACCATCATAAATTTTGTGTTTCAATGTTTGTTTAAATAAACAAACGTATCCATTTTGGGAGCTTCTCAAAAAATAAAATGAAAAATTGATATTTAATGAACTCAGTCCAGAAATTATGTAGTACCTAAAAATTACAATATTGTTTTGAAAGGCCAGCGAAATTTGTTGTTGTTTGGGCATGTTCACCCTCAAAATCACCGAAGAACAAAAACGAAAATAAACTTTTTTGTAAGAGTAAATACTTGGAAATCAATAAATTGAAATATTTTTAAAGATAAAACTGACTGTCATTTAATAAAAGTGATCGGCTAAAAATTAAAAAAAATATTCCTTTAATTGCCACAAAATTGCAAACAACCTAACAAATCCTACTTAGTAGAACCGCTAAGGTTTACTTGAGGTTATACGTAACATGGCTCTGAATAATTTTGGTTGGAATTGTTGGTCAAGCAACAGCCTCCATCAAAATGGGAAATCTGTTAAGAAATCTTATAAAGTATTGGTTTTGGCCATTTCAGCATCGGGATTGTGATAGGTGTTACAGCGTAAACTAAGATGTCGAGGTCTGTTTGCCTATTGGAAAAAAATAATAATAGCAAGGACAGTTGTTAGTCAATGAAATATCGACAAAGTAAGATTTTTGAAAACTTCAAACGTGAGGGGAGTGTAAAGTTAAAAATAATAAAATGTCGAAATTTCACATTTCTCATTAATCTACCTTCCCAAATCCGATTGCTTAACATACCACCGTTAAGTAAAATTAATGTGTAATTAAACAACCATCTTCAAAAATTAATTAATATGTACACGGCGCAAGCTGATAATACAATGAGTCAATAAACGAAAATATAGATGCAGTAAATTCAACATTTTATTCACATTTGCCTTGGCCTCCTAGTTAGATCAATGTGAATTGCGGATTTTGCTTTAAGTTATGGTAATTATAGCATTTCGGATATTTTTATTCGTGGAGTGAATGTAGGTAAACAAAGAGAAGATTGCACTGTCTGACTAACAATAGCGTTGAAATAAACAAACATTAAATCTGAATAATTATCGACGTAAGATAGTTGAAGACAGAAATATATTTGATTAATTATATGATTAGTGGGTCAGTCAAAAGGTCGTTTTGAAATTAACTAACAGCTCACTAATAACCAAAATTATTTGTATTTTTCATTTGCATTAACACTATCAATAATTTGTTGGATTTGAATTTGCCTTGAAACGTTTCATAAAATATCCATTTACTGAACATTAACAAAACAAAAGTAGTGTTGCAAATAGTTGATTGGCTCAGTCATAAATCCGAGGAACAAATACAGGATTGTATGACAATGTCATATTGATTATATGATTGTATGTTTCGGACCTATTAGTCATCATCAGCAAGAAGTAAATTTATTGTAGGTATTATACACGGCAAATTAAACACAGGAAACCAATTTTCCCCCCCATCGTCGACGTTTCGACCATTTTATAAGGGTCATCCTCAGGTATCTTTGTCGGATTCGGCCCGGGTTGCGAAGATCCTCAGCACAAATAAATCGCAAAACGATATAGGAACCCTTTCGAAGGAAGATGGCACCTGGAAGGAAACAAAAAAGGATACCCTACAACTTCTAGCGAAACACTTCCCAGGGG